GGTAGTAAGTAAAGTGCATGAATCGTTCTTTGTGAATTATAGCGTATGTTTAAGTTAAACTGACTGTGGAAATTAAGTGTATTGCAAAGTTGAGTTGAGAAAGAATGAACTAGTTTTATTTAAGAAAGGACTTGTATCGCTGAAGTTTATCGGAAAGAATTTCTACGGAAAATTAACAAACGAACAGAGAGACGTAACAATAATAATACACTGAACAGTAATATCACAAATACAAAAATAGAAAAATAATAAAAATTCAAGACATTAGCGCAAACTCTTCATGCCCGATCAAGTATATTAAAATAACCAATATGAATAAATACATAGTTGTCACTACATTAAAGCAATAACCGTGTACATAAATACACACACAAAAATCTATCCTTTAAAGACAATTTCAAATCAAATCCTTTAATAAAGATCATGCATGTTTCAGCATTACGACACAATACATTACAAACGCCCTTTAACAATGATTAAAATTAAAACATAATTAACTTAGGAATTCACTGATTACATTATAAAAATACTCTTTAACAAAGATTTTTTTGTTTTTTATGGATTTCGCGCAAAACTAAACGAGGGCTATCTGCGCTAGTCGTCCCTAATTTAGCAGTGTGAGACTACAGGGAAGGCAGCTAGTCATCACCACCCACCGCCAACTCTTGGGATACTCTTTTACCAACGAATATTGGGATTGACCGTATAAGCCTTCAGATTTACCGCTGAGCCACTAGAGAGCCAGAATCAGAGGAAGTATTTAGTACGGCATTTAAATGTACGGATGATCAGTCAGCTTGATCTCGTACCCAAATTGGCCATAAGCTATTTTAACGTGCAACTGTGTACAAATTGTACATTATTAACCCGTGTTTCGCCTACGAAACATTTTTGTTTTGTATTTTATATTTTAATACACAAAGTTTATAAAATGTAAAGGCAGTGCTGCATATTTAAAATAGTTAAATGATCTGTCTAGACTACTCACGTGAAAGGTTAGTTACGTAGAGTTCTAAAGTAATTTGATGGTCAAGCGGGTTGTTCTTATGACTGCGAGGTTAAACCTATTCCACAACACTTGATACTCATCAAACACCTCTACTATAAAAGATACTTTGAGCTGAATGGTATGATCAAAAATGACAAACTGCTAGAATTATCTATCGATTCCACAAATACCTTTCTCTTTGCAATGCATATTATCAACACCCACCTCTTCCTTACGCATATGGTGACGTCATCCGTACTTCCCTTCTCCTATTCCATTTTTACATAGCTTAATGAAGTTTCAAAAGCTTCTCATACACATACGGCAATATTGTCCGCACCTCACAACACCTAACAGACGCCCACACGTTACTCTTTAAATTATATAAATTATTAGAAAATCACTATCAGGAATAGCCACTATCAGATGGCGTTATTCTTGAACTACATAAGTGCGTATTTATTATGATCTAGTTATATTTCACACTTAGAATTTTGACTAGAAAGTTTAGCGTATTTTGTACTAACGCTTTCAAAAACGATGAATTTTGTCTGCTTTCAGCAACAAGAAGAAGACAAAACACTCTTCCACATTTTCAATCATGAGACACCAAAAAATAAATACATGTATATTTATAAACACATATATTTGGGGTTATAATCTTGCCCTGGGTACGTTATAATGGACAGTCAATTTTCACTATTCTTTGGTAAACGAGTAGCCCAAGAGTTGGCGGTGGGTGGTGATGACTAGCTGCCTTCCGTCTAGTCTTTCACTTCTAAATAAGGGACGGCCAGCGAAGAAAGCCCTCGTGTAGCTTTCCGCAAAATTCAAAACAAACAAATAAATTATGATCTTGCAATATATATATATATGATTTATTAATCTATTCCTTTTTACTCTGTTCTTTAATTTATCGCAAAAATGTAAATAAATTTGTTTTTCTCTTCGACTTTATAACTTCGATGACTTAATGTAGATGGCACAGCACGCCTAATATACCAGTATAAAAAATTATATTAATGTGTTAGGCCTAGTGTTGCATTAGAGTATTGGTAAAATGTCTGGTTTAAGTGCATGTGTTCATTATTAGAAGGGTAAACATTTATGTTTCACCCTATTTTGTTTCTGAAATAAATGTTTATTTCTTGAAATTACTAATAATAGCATGAGTTGGGTTAGTATAAGTATAAACCACATGTCTACGATTTTGAAATCGGGTCTCATGTTATCGTCTGTGGTTTCGACGCCAAGGCTCCAGCAAGGAATACTTGCGATAGGTAATTTATTATTATTTTATAGTGATTTCAGAGGAAAGCACCTTATACTAATAATATAATGATGAGTCGGCAAACAACAATTTATAAACACCATAAAAAGTGATTGAGATTATAATGTAATTTATCTCTGTCAATTAAACTACGAGATTTTAGTTTTTACGTATATATTTTTGACACTAAATTGTAATTGTAGTTTGTAAATTGTACTTCACTATGCATACAATGGCATGACAACAGGCTTCGGGGGTCTCGAATTAGCGACAAGAAGTGTCCGGCAATTATTTACGTAAATTAAAACATTAGCGATATGAGATATAATAGCGTTAAATAATATAATGTGCTGAAAACAATAAAGAGTATTTTATATATTAAGTGATATAAGTGTAGCAGACCAAAATGTATTAATTGTACTGAGGTCGCAAACAGTTCATTGTTCTTACAAGTTAGTCAATTAGTTTTACAAGGTATTGTATTTATGGTTATTATATAAAAACTATATTATTATTAATTTATTAAACGTTTCTCATATGCTACATTTGTAGCCTGTAAATATCACTAAAACAAGGCCCAAGCTTTTAAGGTTAATATGCAAATATCATCTAAAGTTAGTAAGATCATAAAAGTTGAATAATTATACTCGCTTCTCATCACTAGTAAACACAGTTACATTCCTTAGTCAATGTAGTGGATATCTTGCACCATAATACTTGGCAGTTTGATCTGCTACAGTTTCATGACTTTAAATACATAAAATATTTTTATGTCGCCATTTATAATTTATTTTCTATACTACTATTGTTACAAGTTTCTCACTATATAAGTGCATTAAATTTTTGTGTAGATTCTAACAATTACAACAATATATTTTGTTATTGATCATTTTTTCACCTCTCTATCAAATTGTTTCCAGGAATCAATATGAGTGAAACTTGTTTAGGTTGTTTTTGAAAATATAGCATCTCCTCTTATTATTGTAAATTGGTTAGAATATCAAATTACACATAATTATTATACTAATACTATACGACACACAGAATTTCTGCATACTGAGTAATGTATCTATGGTGCAATGTTTTGTAATGGAATGTTGAAATAATTATACAAGTTCCTAAATTTACTTTTCATTGCATGTTTTAAGTAACATCAAACAGGGGGTGAACAGAAACTTTCTTTTAGAATTTACTCTTTTGCATAACTTGGATGATTCCTTTGAATTTTGCAAAACTGATTGATACTGAAAAATTTATTGATTTTGCATAATAAATTGATTATGCATAATGAGTTAAAATATTAGATGTACTTTTGCAGAGTCCCCGAAAGTGTTCTGTTTTAAGAGCAATTAAACCAAAACCAAGAATGATATTTCTATTTCTTACTTTCTAAGTTCATGTATCATGTTTTGTTGTAGCCTACAGAGTGCATAATTCTTCTCTTGCTTCATTGCATGTGCACATTTTACTGATGTCAGGACAGTTCAAGTTGCAACATTAACAATCTCTTATGCAAGTTCATTTTAATGTCTACTGGCTAGTGGACTGACAGACAACACACTACTGTATAGTGGTGTAAGTAGTTTAAACAGGTGACCTCTCCAGGTGGCCTTTGGCCCCTTTTTAGGGAAATGGGTTGATTTTGTATAATAGATTGATTTTCCATAATGAGTTAAAATATAGGTTAATGCTGTGTAATGGGCTGTTCTACATTACAGTTTGATTCTGCATAACTAGTCAACATATATGGGTCAGTTCTTCATAACAGATTACATGTGCATAACTGTTTGCATTACAGTTCTGCAATTTGGAGGAAATATTCTCTATAATGCATAGTAGAGCTGCACAATTAGTGGAATTTGCTAATTGATTAATCAGTGACCCTATTAATTGATTGTTTGATTAATCAATTAGTACAGTGTTCCTCAAATCATGGTATGTACAAGCATAAAAGAAAAAAGGTTGGCAGTGAGTGCTGCCACACAATTTCCCTCCCTCTAGTCAGCAGTTCAAAATTAGTCACAGTGGCAGATAACCTTAGTAGCTTTGCCATAATGAAGACCAAAGTTAGTGCAAGTAAGTTTAGTGGCATTGAGAATTAAACACAAATCCCACCCTTCTGAATCACCAAGGCTAAACAAATTTGAAGTGAAAAACGTTTAATACAAGAATTGGACTGAACACAGTCCATTGTGCCTTTGCACTTAACAACAATCAAACATAATAACAATATTTAGATTACTTGGATAGTTGGAATAATTGAAATAGTAATAATTAGAAACCCTAATTTTGGTTGTGATAATTTTTGTGATAGCCAATATCATCAGAATGTTGTTTAATTGATTATTAGAATGAAAACACTAATTTCAATTAGTTGATTATTTTCATAACAGTTGTGTTAATCATAATTTCAATTACTTGTAATTTGTAATTGGAGTAAGTAATGTCTACAGTATCTCCAGCCTTGTTTCTTTACTTTTTTACTATCTCTATTTCCAGGTTTATAGATTCCTAATTTTTTATTTATCTTGTTTTTTTTTCTGAAAAAAAGAACCTCGTTTAGGAATTGATGCTGAAGCTATGTATGAATTGCTTGTCAATACGGTATTTCGATAAGAACACTTGCTTCATTTGACTTTAAATTGGACTAAACTGACTGTAGCATCAAAGACATGTCTAACATAAAAAAACATGATGATTGAAATAAAAACTAACAGTCTGTTGTCTGTCACACATATTACTGTAGCTAAGAAACCTTAAGACTCTATCTCCTGTTTTGTTTTTAATGCAATCAGTAGGTAATGTTTTTCCTTCTTTTGATCTTATCCACCAACCCCTTGATGCCAGTTTTTCTCACTCACCCATTTCACTTGTAATGCCTCCATTGGATATATCCTTTATAAAACTGTTCAAATTGGGTCATCTTCTAAATCCATTTTACTTATCGTGCATTATGAAAGAAGATGCTCAAATCAAAAGTCATATCATAGGTGACCTGCTGTTGCAATCTGGTATCTGATTAAGATGGATGCAATAGCTAGATATCCAAATGCATAGCTTTGAGTGCACCAAAGATCAGACTGATGTCAGGATAGATAATTACTTAGCATACAACATTACTAAGATTTTAATGATCTAACTCAGTAACACTGAAAATGGTATCTGCATTGATCTTGTTTTTCAGATTATTCTTTTAAGTGAAGTTCTGGGCATGAGATTTATAGGAGCAGTGACATATCATAAAAATCCAGATCTTTTTCAGTTTTAAAATTTCTTCTGTCATATTCTTTGAGTTTCTTCATATGTTTTCCAAGAGATCTACTTCTCTCCTGCTGGGTTTTTGATAGATCTTGAGTTAGTGCTTGTAGATTTTGAATGAGATGTTATGATCAATTTTTCTATTACAATGAGATGCTCGAATACTAATGTCTTTATTCCCTTTTTAGTGTTGTTGGCTGGGTTATGTAAATCCTTTTTCTGAAATCAGTTGGCATTTTTGGATTTGAGTCAAAAACTCAGTTGAGCAAGATAGTAAACACAAATTACATTATGAGTAGTTGACACGTACTGCATGTATGACTAGCAGAATCTATAATAATGGGATGTATAAGTTTTATTTTTCTTAGTATGGCAGTGGTATACATAAATGTAGTGTCCTTGAGCTGCAGCTAGTATAACTGTGATTACATTCTCACAGAATGTTCCTTTCTCCATACATGACAGTATATCTTTAACCTCCCTAACATTGGTGTTATCATGTTGGTATGCCATAATGATTTTTAAGTGAAGCGACTACCTAGAATAACAATTTACATTTGAATACAAGTCATCAATACCAATACAGCCTTTTTAATAGGGAAATTATTTTTCAATCACAATCTCTTTTGATTTCTCTCACTTGGCAAGGAGAACTTAGAACTGTAAAGATACAGACAACACAGAAGGCTGAACTTCAAAAATATGCCCATGTGGTTTGTCTTAGGCTAGTTTGCAACAGTGCTTTATACATGTAATTACAAATACATTTCCTAACAAGCGATCACTTTTCAGCTTATGTTGGTATTCCATAATAATTTTGAAGTTTAGAGTCTATCCACTATAACAGTTTATTCTTCAAGTATGTATAGGTTACAGTGCATTTGCTTTATTAAACAACACTATACTTTATCTGAACAGTTATGACACCATAAAAAATGTTCTTCAAGCACGTTACAGTTGCACTTAATTTCTTTAATGAACTTGTTTTCAGGAATTTTTCTTTTACTTGACAGATTAGATATTTTTTAGATTTAAGCAAATGATTCTGAATTTGAATAAACAGATCAAACAAACTTTAGACTAGTTTGCAACAATGCTTTATACATTTAATTACAAATACATTTCCTAATGATTTAATAAGCAAGTCTCATGTTATGAACAAACGAACTAAATATGTTTTTAAAGCTGATTAATTATGATTATTTTGTATATTGTAGTAAACCATTTGTCAAACTGATAAAACCATCCTTTTCAGGAAGTCATTAATTCCCTTAAACTCCTGTAAAGTAGTGACCTCTGGAGCTGCCTATGGCAACTCATTATAAAAGTGAGTCACCCTGTTAAAAAACATAAAATTGCCTTCACTGGAGCCTATCTATCTTTTCCAAATCTTAAACTTGTGTCTCCTCATCCTATTACCTTCAAAGTATAACAAATAATTCAAAGTCCTTATAATTCACTGGATAATTTTATGAATTTCAATAAAATTCATTCTTATCCCTTTTTTTTTTTCCACAATGGAAAATAATTTGAGAGGTTTTCAGTCTATTCTCATAAGACACAATAATTCTTTCATCTCTGAATCATCCTAGTAACCCTCTTCTGAACTCTTTTTCAATAAATAAATATTCTTTGAATATTTGCTTTCTTGGAAAAGGAGATCAAACTATACACAGTATTTCATATGAGATCTAATTAGTATTGAATTGTTAGGTAATTATCTCTTGATTTGTAATCAATATTATTTCTGTAAATATATCCTAAAATTCTGTTAACTTTCCAAGCACAGATCCTTGACACTCAAGAATTTTGCATTTAGTCAAGTTGGAAACTAAATTCCATTAATAACATTTCATTCCTCCCACACAGGTGACTTTTAATCCATTTAACATAGTCCTGTTAAAATTTCAAATAATTTCTTGTTCATTTACTGTAATCGACAATATTTGAGTTTTTATATGAAATTTCACCAGTTTGGGACAAAAAATATACATATTAGTTTTTGATAAAAATTTGTACTTTTGTTTTTGAAGTATTTTCACAATTTCCATTGTAGGAGATATTAATAACAAAAACTCATGATTTTGTACAAAAATGGCATAATTCTTTCAAAAAATAGAGGTGAAAAAGTTTTTTTTTATTAGGATATGAGTATGTTGCATCACAATTTCTCTTCTTTTTTTTGTAGCCAAATATCAACCCTTAATCACTACAGATGGCTAAGTATGAAACTATGGCCAATTCCACCGTCCTTTAAAGGTAAGCTATCAAACTTTTTTTTGTAGCCAAATATCAACCCTTAATCACTCAGATGGCAAGTATGAAACTATGGCCAATTCCACCGTCCTTTAAAGGTAAGCTTTCAAACTTTTTTTTTAGTTTAGTGTACATGTACTGAATATGTACATATTTGTATATTTATCTATTTATTAGGGGTGCACGGATACTCAGGCCAGATATTGAACTACCTGGTAATCTCAGGCCGAGTGTCGAAGTTAAAAACAGTCGAATCCAGGTAACTAAAAATGGCATCTAAGCCCTAATCTTTGTGACAACTTATGTGGTACTGAAAGTTATAGTCAGTAATTGGTTTAATTAAAAAAACTTGTTCTGAGCAACAAAGACTGACCACTCGCTGAAAGTTAGGGATTCAGAGAACAATAGGGGTTAATAATGCATCTTTGCATTCAAATCATCATGTGACAATCCTCCACCAGTTGGAGTGAGAAATATCCTCCTGACACACGTAACTCCCTCTATTTGATTCCACCTAAGTATCATTTCTCGTTAGGCAATTGTCTGGTGCAGACGTTTTGAAATTTTGCTGATTTCAATAAATAATTTCATTTCTTTTTGCAAAATAATACTTTAACTTTCTATTAATTTTTCCCCAGTTTGTATAGTATTTGGCCAAGCAGTTTACCTTGATTTGTCATTTTGTTTCTACTTTTTCGACTTGTTCACAGTCATTCATGAATTCGGAATTTCATGTCACAACTTCAGCTTCTATTCCCACTACTTCGAGTGTTGTTACACAGGTTTCAGGTCAGGGGGTCTCAACTAAGGATTTTTCAGCCATCATTCATTAGGAGATTGATCTCTACATGAGTTGACCTTCTTCTCCTGACAGTGTTCAAGCTCCTTTTAGCCTGTGGGTGTTGTTAGTCTGATATATTTTTCATCAGCATTTCACATACTCTGTTCTATATCGCATATGTTCTCCTTTATCCAGATCGATCTTTCCTCCCCAAAGCTTTGGCTGCTCCTAGGGGACATTTTTCATTCTCACCAATTTCTCTTCCTTCCATTTCCCACTTTTATTCTTGGTCTGATCCGTATAAACTTCTGTTTCCCATCCATGCTCTTCGTTGTTATGTTGCCTGCACAGCTTCCTTCCGTGGTTTCCAATCCCACATTTTCATTCCCTGGAACCTTTCCTCCTTATGTGTCCTTTCTCCTTCCACCTTCACAAGTTGGGTTCATCAGTTTATTAGACTGGTATATTTCTCTCTGTCTCCTATTTCCCACAATTTGTTTCAGGTGTCATCACATCAAATACGGCATCTTACCTTTTCTCTAGTGCCACTGTGTTAGCTTGTATGCATTATTGGTCTAAATAATTGTTGAATGGGCAAATCAAATCACCAAAAACAAATGTAGAAAAGAAAAAGATTAAAAAAGAGCTAAATTAATATAAAATTAGTGTAAATATTATTATATATATTAGATGAAACCTTCTAATAAACAATGTAAAAAAACAATTTGGCTTACTTATAGTATTACCATTGTAAAAAGTTATTTTTATTGTAAACACAGTGAAACTGTGTGCCTTATTTTTCAAACAAAAAAAAAAATATAAAACTTGCAGTTTTATAAAATTTTCAAAGAATGTAGTAAGACAGAAAAGTCAGTAATTATAATCACTACAACAAAGGTAAGCATTTTAAATTGTTCCTTGAATTACAGTGAAATATTTTAAAAATTTCAAAGCTGCAAATTCATACATATCATTTATAAGAATTATAACTAATTCTGAAGTTTCAAACTATTTCATCCAGTAGTTTATTACCGCAATGCAATTTAAAAACTGTACAACAGATGTGTCAAAATGATGCAACCAGATCTCAAGCATTAGAAGCACTAACATATTTAATGAGATACTATTTTACTGATATTTCTGAAACAGGGTTTAGTAATTTTTTGTTTTTGTTTACGACAGATATTGATCTACCAGAGAAAAGGAAACTTCCTCAGTTAGATAGAGTTCCAATTATACCAAGTAATGTTAGAGCTCCAAAGATGACCAAAAGGCTTATTGACATTCGAGGGCCAGAACTTGTTCATAATCAGTTGATATATAAACAATACGGTATCATTGTAAGTATGTTCATAACCTGCTTACAAGTACAGAATATATATGCACAGTACAGACTTTTACATATAAAACCACATTTTTTGTTGTAAAAAGAAATTACAAAAGAAACCTAAATATTCAGGGAAACTGGATATCAAATATTTAAAAAATGATTTAATATATTAAATAAAAAAATTAATAAAGATTTTTATGGTTAATAAGATATTAAAAGTTAATTCAGTATAATAAAAAAAAGTCATGAATACTAAAAAAAACAAAAAACTGAAGTTCTTCAAAGATTACTTTGTAACAATTATTCTTTTATCCTTATTTTACAAAGTATGCAGAATTCTTCCAGAAATTTTGTAATAGCAGTTAGAGTATAATTGATGGACAAAAGGAACTATTTGGCCCTTTAAGGTTGTCTTTGCACATTCACCTTTGGAAAAAAGCAAGAATAATGAACCCATTCTTTACTTTTCAGGAAATCACTAATTCCCCTCTTAACTCTATCAGGACAACTCCATTTTTAAACTCCTTTCTGTGCATGTTACTGCATTACATTCAGAATTAAATTAAACTACTTTATTATCAATGTATTTTAATGAAATTATTATTATCAAGTACATTATTATTCATTATCTAAGTTTTTATTCATTTATTTTAAAAGAAACCTCAATATTAAAACTGCAGTTTTGTTGTTACATGACTCCCTCACTATTTCAAATCTCAACTTTAAGAGCTGGTATAGAGAAAACTGTGTATGTAATGTAGATATTTCTGTGCAGTTGTTCAAAGTACACTGTATATAGGTTGTTTACCGGTAATTCAAGTACATTCCAAGATCGTGTCCCAGAGGAAACCATTGTAAAAATTTCTCGGTTCAAGTTAAGTCACATCCACTTGCAAAGTAGAAGCTATGTTGCTAAGCGATAGTTTTAACTTGAATGGTATGCTTATAAAGAATAAAAATAGTAGATTTTAAGCCATATATTGTAACAAAGGCAGGAAAATTAAGCAATGTATGTGTTTTATAAAGTAAGTCAAACTGCTGCTAAGTCCATAGTTGAAATCAGTGTCCCTGGGGCTTGACTATTTTTTCTCACCTTATATATACTAGTTTGATAGACAGTTAAATTGCATTAGGTTTTACTTTTATATTTTATTTGATTATATATTATTTGTGTTTTAAAATTCATACTTGAAAGGTTTAATGTTTTTTTAAATCTATTTTATGCTTTGCCTTGAACACCCGGCAATTATAAGGTTAGTGAGTGCACACAATATTTTGCCAAAGGCTAGACCGTCTCTGCCAGTGTTAACAATATATCACCCATGGGCAACTGTTGGTGTGTGTTGACATAAATAATTAAAGATAAAGAACAGGAAAGAAAAAAAAACATTAGAATTTAACTATTTGAAATTATGCATATTTTAAGATTATTCAATGAAGAAATAAAAGATAAGTACATATTTCCATTTCTTAATTTTAAACATTTCATTGCACTGTACATTGATGAAAATAGCTAGAGTTTCTGACGTTGTAGAGAAAATGACAAATAAAATATAAATATTTATCTTAAAAAAAACTTTTGATATTTGTTTAGGAGGTTCTAGAGATTAAACAAGTGAAATGTGAAAACTGTAAGGTAAAAAATAATATTTTTATACTTAACTTGAAAATCACCTTGTAGGTGAAATATTCAGAGACCAAATGCAAATAACTACATCAAATAACAAATTTTTAGTAGAAATAGCAGAAAAAAAATCAAAATTGGATATTTTATTTTTCTGAAACTAAATACTTTTAGGAAGATTCTTGTCAAATTGTAAATGTCTACTAGTTTCATTTCTGTAAAGACATTTCACGAGAGTTATGTAACTCTCTTACAATAGACATAGGTTTTCCTGATAGGGTTAAGTTCCTGTAAAGTGTTGGTCTTCATTGCTGCTAATGATAACTCTTTATAAATATATAATTGTCTTAAATGTAGCATTGCTTTCTTTTCTAAATCTTAAGCTTATGTACTCTCACCCTATTATCTTCTGTTAGCTCTCTTTCTAGCAACAAAGTTGTTTTAATGGCTTGAGTGACATATACCACTATGCCAAGATCCTTTTCCCCAGTCATTCAGTATTAGTTAAACATCCTTAATACAGCTGGAAAGTTAAATAGTTTAATGTCATCAGCAAACTTTACTAACTTATTAATTATTTCCCTATTAGTATCATTAATGTAAATAAGAAAAACCAAAGGTCAAACACTGCCCCCCCCAAAGCACTCCTCTACTAATAAGAAACTTGTTTGATTTGACTTCATTTATAACATCCTTTTGTTTTCTCCCATTCAACTACAGTACAATCCAATTAATTATTCTTTCCCCAATCTCTACTGATATAATTTTCTAAGGTGATTTTTTTGTGGCACCTTATATAAAGCTTTTTGAAAATCTTAATTACACCAAGTCTACATCCTTCATCCATTGCTTTAGAATTCAGTTGACAAGCCAAACTGTTTTCTCTATTTTTATCTTAAACACTATTAGTGTACAATTCACTTATTCTTTTTCTTCTTTTATCACAACAGTATTGGTGTATAATTCACTTACACTGCCTCATTAAGTTACTGCAGTTGTATCCTGAACTTCTGATACTCACCTGCTTTTGGCAAAGTCCACACAGACAAGTTCAATTGTTTTAGAACACCCTTTGCTGAGACAAATTTTTCTCCTAAAATGTCAGAAAACTGTTTATCTCATTTAACATATTAACCATTAGGCTATTCACTGATATGATGGTTAACTTTATGTTTTCTAACCTTTCTCTAACTGAAACTCTCTATTTCTCAGCTTTACTTCTGGCTCTCTTCCTGCAGTCTAGTCTGCTCTGTCTGTCTGTTGTTCCAGTTCATCTGACACTACTTATATATTTATCACTTAATCCTCTGCTCTCCTTTTAAAAATCTATATATCCTCGACATCACTGAATCATAAACACAACTTCCAATCATTATCTGCTTTTAATTCTCCTATTATAAAAAAAACAACTAAACAATCATGAAATATTCACTCACAAAATAAATAAATTAATAATACCTACACTAAACAGTCTCTTATGTCAGGACAGTCAGGTTTTAATGATAAATGTCACATAGCAGTTATCACTATTTTATTGATTAATAATATGCACATCTGGTAAGGAAAACAAAAAATTTTGGTGTTTCAAATATCATTGTAAATGTAATTGTATTTAATTATACTGCCATATTTGTGAAGGATAAACCAAGAGCCTAGGTTATGCATAGAAAATCCTGGGGACCTCAAATGTCATTTTAAATGTAATGTTAATGTTTTATACTGGCAGATATAGTTAGATTATTGGTCATGGGTAGTAGATGCCTTTAAGGTTAAGCTGGCCTCACTGATCGAGGTCTCGTAGATCTTATGATGTTTAAGCTTTGACAAACTTTGGTTAGACATAATATTTCAAGGTATATCAGGTTATCAAAATAACAGAAGGTTAAACTGATTTGTCCAGTTATATATCTTGAGTGTTGTTTGTACTTTATTTTTAATTTATATTAGTGACATTATAAACTTAAACTCTATACCTATATTCCAATATGTTTTTCATGTCAGGTACTTGGCTTTCCAAGATATTTTCTCTCTTACTGAAGGGATTTGTCAGTGTTTGCCCTCAAAGCATATTTTAGTCCAGTTACATGTAATACACTGTGTAACTGTTTCTCTTATCTATACTTGTAACCATCATAATCATAAAAGCCAAGTGTCAGTTGGTCATGCTCAATTTCTTGGGAAGTTTGCGAGTTACACTATAACACTTTCTCTTTTGATTGCCCATTCTCATTTTAGCTGAATCCAATTACTAACATAGGCATAAATAGCTCTTAAGTTTTGGCACTTTTTCTGCTACATAAAAGCCTGTCAAGTAGAGAGTTTTTATACCAAGGATTTATTTAGCACAGAGTGAAATTAATTTGCTGTCTGTTATGAAAAGAAGTTTTTGAATGATGACAGAATATTGACAAGAAGTGTGGTTTTAAGAGAACTATTGCAACAATGCAATTGATGTGATAATAATATAACTGTGATCAATGAATGCTGGGAAGAGACACTCTTCAGGTAAAGGAGATATTGCTCAGGATAGGCTGTGTTTTCCAAAAGCTAGAAGGCCCTTTATTTTTCTTATGACTGTTTACGAGCAGCAAAGTTGCAAATGCATATTGGAGGATTCAAATTTGGTCATTATTGACAGGCTTTCATACTAGTTTAAAATAAAGGATCACTAAACTTACCTTATTATATTACAATTCTGAAACAAGTACAACTAAATAGTGGTTTGACTAGGAACATAGAATACTAATTTTATATATAGTTGTTAAATTTATCAGAAGGTCTCCTATGTCATGAAGATCATAATGAGAGTGTCTTTGTAGTATGAGACATGATATGTCTATAGAATTTGGAACATAAACATTCAGTCAGTTCTATAAATTACTATAAGACTTGTTTGAAAACAATCTAGTAACGGGTGAGGCAACTTAAAATTGGTTTGATATACTTAAAAAAGTTGTATGTACATTACTGTTTTTTCTGATTGTATAGACACGTTATTATTATTATTTACTAAAACCTGTTAAAACTTTGTTTCTAAAACTTGTGATTTTATTTATTAGGCTTTGTCAGGAGGCAACTTGCGGTGGAATCATATTGAGTCGATGAGACTTGCTATCAACAGGAAAATGGATTCAAAGAGAACATTTGCTGTTTGGCGCATTGATTCTCCATGGAAACCAATAACAAGAAAAGTAAATGGACTTTAATATTTTGTTCTATTTTCTTAAAAGTTCTGTCTTTGAATATTCATGCACCAGTTCACATCTTAAATCTCAATGAATAATATTGGTAAAATTGCTCACTACAATCTAAAACAAATATAAACAAATTTTAAAATTCAGCAACCTTAAGTACCTGTGTATAAAATGATAAAAAAACCCTATTACTGGAGAGCTTTAAAAAATACTCAGGTTATAGGGCGTTTATAATTTTGTATCAATACTTATTGAACCTACGTATTTTTCTGAGATCATGAATACCTGTATACAAGTTCGTCTTCGTATTTATTTTTTTTTATTAGTATTTTTGTTATATATATATATATATATATATATATATATATATA